AATCGGGATGGATGTGTCAGAGGCAATGCGATTGACACAGGATAGAGCAGAGTTTAGGGCTGTTGTACGTAGGGTCGCTATGAGTCGCAAGTGACTAGACGACATGTAACAACAACAACAACAAAGACCCACTGAACAGTCAGCCATGGGTCAGTTCCAACTCAAACACAACAACAACAACATATACTTTTCATTCTCTTTGATTCAATTCTCTCTCAGCATCATGTTGAGTCATGTGGTAACTTTACTGTTTAACAAACTGCTAACGTATTAGCCAAAATGGATTGCACTGTTCATATTTCCACCAGCAATGAGGGTTCTAATTTCTTCACTTTGTTGTCAACACATAGTGGTGGGGTGCAGGCAAGGGCAGAGCAATAGAAGACCTAGAGCTGAAGAAGAAAATGGATAAGGGACTCATTTTCCAGAAGAGCTAGCCCAGAGGCTAGCCCACATACAGAGAGATGCTCACTCTCATTAGCTATCGGGAAAGGCAAATTTGAACATTTTACACTCACTTGACCTACAAACATTAAAAAAAAAAAGGAATAATGGCAATTGCTGGTGGAGCAGTGATGACTGAGGTCTCAGCTACTGATGGAGTTGAGATTTTGTCTCATTCTGGGGAACAATCTGGCACTACTTATCAAATTAAGGGGCCTGACTGGTAGCCCAGGACTTTTCTTGTAGATGTGTGCTCCAGAGAAATGTCCCCATAGGCCCATGAGGGGTCAGGCAAGTGGGAGGTCATGGCAGCAATGGTGGAGGAAGCAGGTGACTGATAGGGATACGTATGAGGGATGACACCATGTGTTACCTCCCCATGGTAAAAACAAACAAACAAACAAACAAAAAAAAACAAGTACATACGCTGTGACACAGGGACCTGTGGAAACAGAGAACTGAAGGGGAAACTTCTGAAAGAAGATGAGGCATAAGCCAACGTCATTTATTTACATTAAAAAATATAAGCGCACAAAGCACTAAAGATTTTTCAAGAACATACAGAGACACAAATATTCACATCAAGCATGTTGGAACTGGAGAAAAAGGAGATAGCAATTAAAAAAAAAAATAAAGCCAGAGAGAGTCATTGCACAGACATAGTGCAAATGTGATGTGAACTGAGGGCGTGGTGTCCGTGACTCTGCACCTGACATCCAGGCAAAAGCTGTGGCTTGAGGCTCCTTTAGAGTGGGTGCAGTTACATGGTGACAGGCACCCCCAGGCCTTGGACCTTGATCCAGTGGAGGAGGACGGCTCAGGGCTGATCTGCGTAGGGTTAGGCAGTAACTTGGGAGAAGTGGCCTGAGGGTCCTCAGGGGTGTTGGTTCCTCCTGCTCCCCTAGAGGATGCAGGGCCCATGGCAGCTGCTGAGGCTCCTATGTGGACTCAGTGGGGCAACGTGGCCAGCCTAGCACACAGATGTTGGCACCTTCACCCCTGGACCTGAGGTCATTGTCCATCTGGCGCGGGTCCTCCGGGCTGGGAGAAGTTCAGGATCATGACCATGCCACCTTCTCAAGAGCTCCGTCCTCACCTCCAGGGACAAGGGGGTGAAATATCAGGAGTGCCCACTGCCACGTCTCTACTCAACCCCAGTGAGACTGCGGGTGCAGGGATCAAACACACAGGGAAAATAAAGACGTGGGCAGGAGAACCTGGGGGAGGTCACCGTCACTACGAAGCACAGGATACTGCTTCCTCCTTCCTGAGAGGATTTCGGATCATTCCCTCAGGTTTTCTCTTTTAGCACTTTGGACCCAGTTAAGACATTGATAGGCTGATTTCATGAATTCCTGGCCAGATGATTTCCTGTGTCTTTCTTGCACGGCTTTCCCCACCCCAGCTCAGGCATTTAGTCCTGACTTCTCCCTGTGAGCTGAGCTGTGGCCGTGGGAAGCCTGTCCTGAGGGCAAGAGGACTCAGCAATCTGTGTGAGCAGCTACAACTGAGGGGACCGAGGAGAAGTCAAAGGAGAGCAACGGTTCACGTCCACAGGGCCGAGGGAAGCCTCTCTGTCTTCACACCCCCACTCACACTTCCTCTCACACTTCCATTCCCACCTCCACTCACACTTCCTCTCACACTCATGCTCACATTCCACTCATGCCTCTACTCTCACACGTTCATTCACACCTCCATTCACATCCCTACGGACACCCCGTCACATCCCCACTCACAACCCGTCACATCCCCACTCACACTTCATCTCACACTCACTACACTCACACACACCAAGGCACTGACACACTTACTTCCACTCACACTTCCACTCGTATCCCTACTGATACTTACACCTGCACCTATATCTACAAGCTTACCTACAATCACACTTGTTGTCACACCCACACCTCCTCTCATACCCCTACTCACTCCTTCACTTGTACCCCATTCACACCTTCATTCACACCCTCATCATACCCCCACTCACACTTCATATCACACTCACACCTACACACACACACTCACATTCTTACTTCCACTCCCATCCACACTCACATTCACACCCACACTCACACTGTATTCACATTTCCTGTCACATCCACCCCTCCTCTCATATTCCAAATCACATCCCTATCACACCCCCACCCACACACGCACACCTGCATTCACACCTACCCTCACATCTCATCACAACCATACTCACAGTCACAAATACACTCACACACACATACTCACCCCCTACGCACACTCACACCCACACTCACACCTTGATTCACACCCATACTCATACTTCCACTCCACCTACACTCACACTCACATCTCCACTCACTACCCCACAGGGCTTCGAGGGCAGAGGAAACTGGCAGGTGTAGCTCTAGAGAGCCCAACTCTCTGGGCTGTGGTGACAGATGGAAGGCAGACAGATTTCTGTCAATCATTTAGAGATCTTCCCACAGCTCTGGAGGCACAGAAAGAGCCACAGTAGAAGGTAGTAATTTCCCTGTCATCAGAGAGGGGTAACTCACACTACTTCCTGACACAGACCTTCATGGTTCTCTTTTGAAACCCCATCTGGAGGCTGTACCGGCCCAGCCAGCACTGCACCCGTGACACTCAAACTTTGCATTTTTATCCTCATCCAGGCCCCAAATAAAAATGGCGTGAGACACAGAGGGCTGGAGGTAGCGGGAAAGAAAAGAGAAGGTGGGAGCCAAGCTGGGTAGAAACAGAGATGGCCTGTCTGAGCTCAGCAGCAGATGGTCGTCAAGGTCTTGGCTAATCCCAGAGCCCACACCAAATCCATAGCCACCAGAGGGAACCCTGAGTCTGACCCTGGAAGTCTGGGGCACAGAACTACAGTCTCCCGCCAAACAATTCTCTCCCTACAAAACCTTGAAAGGAGAGAGCACACGGTATTCTGGATGAGACGTTCCATCGACTGCTCCTTTGTCTCTCTGAGTCTTTGCTTTTCTGCGTTAGCCCCAGCACCATCCACCACCACCCTCTGTTCTGTGTCTTCCCCTTCTGTTTGGCCTGGGAGCCACTCTGTACCCATTTTCCTAACTCTGTTCTGGGTCTTCCTCACTGGCACTGTATTTGACTTCTTTTTCTAGAGCCCTGCACATCTACCACTGATATTCTTGGTTCTCCTACCATTGAGTTCTCTGAAATCTCTCTCAGCTCACTTGCCACCCCAGGCTCCTCTCTTTTAGGAGCACAGCAATGAGAAATCCATTTACCCATTTCTGGATCATTCTCTGGATCCCTACAAGTCCTTCTCCACTCCTCTGCTGAACAGACTATAAAACATGGCTCCAGAGAAGAGGTGGATAAAGTATATTTACAGGAAGCTTTCAGGTTCTGTGTGATCCAGGAGTTCAGGACAGACTTTGCACAGTAGACCACAGGTGTCAGAATTGGTGTAGCCTAAGTCTACAGGACTTGGTCAGAAGACTTGGGAACTGAGGGCTGAAGGGAAGGGTGGCTGGATGGAGAACCCGGAGAATCACACACCTCTTGGTTGAGGAAGCAGTAAAGGAGGGCGACGATGAACCCCTAGGAGCCAAATAAAACAGACTCCGTCAGAACATGTTGGTCTGGCCTCAAATCATCTGCAGTCTCTCTATAATTTCTCACTCACCCACACCCAGATTATGGCTTGAGCCAGGCCCACATGAAAAGGGAATTTAGATGTATTCATCATTTACTATAGGCCAGACACAGGGTCTCATATTATCATCACAGAAAGCCTGCCTCATTACCTCTTCTCTCTGTCTTCCTGCTTCTCTGGGAAATGAGAGCAAAACCCTGCACATATAAGTAACTCAGATAAGATTGAATAGACAGAAGGATGTCGGGGGGGGGGGGGGGGGGCGGGTAGAGATGGATGAATGGATGTATTGATGAAGGAATAGTTGGATCAGTGAGTGAGTAGATGGAATACCTGACCTAGTACTCCTCATCCTACTATAAAGTCAAGCAAGACCTGGGAATGGCACCCCCTCTTTCCCGATTCAGGATTCAGAGGGAAGGAGTATCTCTAAAGGCCCCTCACCTGGAAGGAGCCCAACCCCAATTCCAGGGGCAGGCGGATGCCCAGGCCAGCACTGTCAGGCAGGAAGTTGAAGATGATGTAGTGAACTCCAAACAGAGGGATGAGGAGAAGGGTTGACTTGGAGAGACGCCTGCAGGAGCAGAGAAAAGCCCTCGGTTTATGTTACACGTTCTCAGTGGGTCTCTGTTCATCATCGCCACCCACCACCTCCCCTTTACCAGCAGCCATTCCCAACAGCCCCACCTCCTCACACACACTCTGGATGTCCTTCTGGTCCCTGAGTCCCATTGTTCCCGATGTCAAAAAGCTCTTATCTCAGTTTATTCCAGTCCAAGTCTTATGCATTTTTCAAAGTCCAATTCAAAGACCACTTTCTCTGAGAAGTTATCCCTAATGGACTGCCACCCCTTAAACTAATCTGGGCAGGGAAAACCCCAAGAGTCCATCATCCTATTTGGCATAGTAAATAGTTGTGGGGGACCTCTATCCTCATGGCCTCCCAGACAACAGTGATTAGACCAATTTTCTCTCTGAGAATAGGGGGAGCAGCTTGGAGCTGGGCTCGACCACCAGATGAAACAGACCACGTTGACTGTCCCTTCAGCTGTCTCCAAGTGCCCCCCTTTCTCTCTCTCTCTCTCTCTCACACACACACACACGAAGTACCAGTACTGAGATTGGCTTTGGAGGTTGCCCTGAGCCGGCTCCAGTTTCCTCAACAGGATGTGAATAATATTGAGAAAAAGCCCAAAGTTCACCTGGAAACAGAAGTGAGGGAAGATGGAGGACAAGGGATGACCTGGGATGGCCTGAGCTGGGGCTCCAACCAGTGTGAGAATTAGAAATCCCACATCCTTGAAATATAGGGATGGTGAATGGATGGACGGACCTACAGACCATTGCCCCAGGTATTCTGTCCTTGAGATCAAGAGATCTCACATGTCAGCCTTGGACAGGATATGGCTCAGGGTCCCCACCGTCTTCAGTGATGAGATTAAGAATGGGGGCTCTGGTCCTGGTATCCTGCATCCAGCCACCAGCAGGAACTTCTTGTACAAATTAGTCAGCCTGTGCTACTGTTGATTAGGAATACATCTGCATATTCATTGAGGCCAGTCCTGGAGACCCACTGTATGTATGGGAGCAGGTGGGGGTCTCACCTTTGTAAGCCCTCTGCTTGCACCACACCCTCTCTCTGCAGTAGTACCTGACTGCACCAGGCACCATGTTCATCATGCTGATACCCACAGGGGCCATCCCTGAGAGTTTAGGGTAGATGGGGATGAACTCATGCTTTCTGACTCTGTCTGCAGCTGTGTTTCCTGCTGTGGCTGTCCCTTTGATGGGCTGTCCCTTTGGTGGGCCCAGGAGGGTAAATGAATAAAGCAAAGGGCAATGGCTGCAGGGACTGACCCCAACAGAGAGGATGATGGGCCCCTTGATGATCCACCAGGAGGGAGAGCTGCCGTCCAGGTCCCAGCACCTGGGGAGAGGACGAACCAGGATGACGTCAGGGATGCCAGGATGCAGTCTCTCCAAAGTCCCCTTTCAGTGCCTATCTCTCCTCTCCTCTCCATGTCTGCTGGCCCCAAGCCTGTCTCTCCTCTCTCTCACATGCAAGCTCTGGCCTTCCCTCTCTCAGTTGGTCATATTATTTCCCAAGGGGCACCCTTCCTTGCCTGGCTCACCCTTTCTCTCCTCCTGGAGAGAGAAACTTGAACTTGCTGTTTCTTTGCTGGTCCAAACACGCTTCCTCTTCCAAGAGGGCCCCCTGACTGCTACCTCAGAGCCACAGCCCTGAGAATCTCAGTCCACCTCTCTTACCTCAGTTGACAAGACCTTCACCCCACCCAACCCCTTTCCAACCTGGGAATTCCCTGAGGGCAGAACCTAGGCCGCCTCCTCCTCTTCCCTCTTGGAAAACAGCCACATTCCCCAGTTGCCCCCGCCATTCCCCATGTGACCCTGCATGGGTCAGACTCACGCTGTGTCCTCAAAAGCCCACTTGCAGCCCACCCAGGTGCCTGTGAAGAGCACAGGAAAACCTGTGGGGAGGACATAGGGGGCAAAGGTGAGGTGGCTAAGTCCAAGGCTCTGAGGCCCATCCTCCTCCCACCCTCCAGCCCCACAGTCAAGGTCAGGAGAGCCCTTCTCTGGACCTTAGGGTCAGCCGCAGTGAGGTGAGAACACCATTGTGTGAACCGAAAGCCCTCTCCCTCCCCAACTGCCCCCAAAGTCGTCCCTCACTGCTCACCCCAGCCAGCAAGGGCCAGCCACCAGAAGGGACACCTCACGCTGGGTGATGTGGACACCAAGAGACGGGTCAGGTAGACAGCTTCGGCCAGCAGCCAGCTGAAGTTGGTCATGGTGGCAAAATGGGCGGCAGCCACGGAGGCCTTGCACAGAGCCTGAGGACAGGGGCCTGGGTCTTTCAGAGCTTTGACACTCCCCAGGCCTCCACTCAGACACCCCTTTCAAACAGGGAAAGTCCAGAGGCTCTTCCCATTGGGTGGTGTGTCAGAGCATGGATTTGGGATGAAGACAACCTGGATTTAAACCCTACCATGCGTGAACAATGTCAGCCTCCCTGTGTTGCAAGCACTTCTCACCACTAAAGGTAAACAACACCTACCACAGGGCGGCCTCATAGTGATAAATGGAAACTCTGGGATAGAACTCTAGTGAGCACTGGTGGCCTAGTGGCAAGGCACTGAGCTGCCAAACCAAAGGTACACGGTTCGAATCCACCAGCTACTCTCTGGGAGAAAGATGGATAATCCGCTCCTGTGCAATTTACTGGCTGCTGGAAGGTCAACAGTGAGTCAGATCCAAACACAGAAGAGTTGCAGTGACTTTCCCTTTCACTCCGCCCTTGCTGAGCTCAAGACTGTCCCTCAAGGTAATGGCTGGCCAAGTTGTTTCCAGCTCATGGATCACATTCCTCACAGTGGAACTGTACACTAGAGGCTTTTCAGTGCCTGATGTTGCAGAGGCAGATTGCCAGGGTCTCTGGGAGTACTTCCAGATGGCCCAGGGTGGACTTGAACTGCCAGCCTTTCTGTTGGGTTAATAGTCAACTGAGTTAATGGTTCACACCACCAAGGGACTCCAATCCTCCTGATCTGGGGACATCGAAGACAACTGATTCACATGCAGCTCGCTGGTGTGGACTCTGCCTTCATCCACAGCTTTACCCAGCGCACATCTCCCAGCTGTTCTGAGAGGCATCTCTGAACTCACACAGCCTCGCTAATTCCCTACATCACACCTACCTTCAGGTCACCTAGCTGACTACCGGACTCTTGGGGCTCCAGGTCCCCAACCACAAAACAGGATTCAAGTCAGACTTTCTTCTCAAAGTAATTTAGGATCGAAGGAGATAATATGTGTAACATATTCAATGCAATGTTTAGCACATAGTAAGAACTCAATATATATTCTTGTTAACTCTTTGTTTGTTGTTGTTGTTAGGAGCCATCAAGTGTGACTCACAGTGACCCTGTGAACAGATCTGAACCCCGTCCCATCCTGTGCCATCCTCATCATCTCCGACACACTCGAGCCCATTGCTGCAGTCACTGTGTCAATCCACTTGGTTGAGGGTTTTTCTCCCTTTCACTGACCCTCTACCTTTCAAAGCATGATCTCCACTTTCCAAGGAATAGCCTCTCCTAACATGCCCAAAGTACATGAGACGGAGTTTTGGCATCTTTGCCTCTAAGGAGCTCTCTGGCTGCACTTTCTCCAAGACGTATCTACTCTTTCGTTAGCTGAGTTCATCAGTTGATGGGTTTACTCATGCATCTATTCATTTCTAGCACTTCTTCAGAGCACCTGCTTTGGACTTGACAAATCACTTTGTTCCCCAGCCTTCTATCTTTCCCACCCCTTTCTAGTTCTGATTTATCAGTATCTCAGACACAACCCATATGGTCTGGCTCAATTTGCTGTGTCCTCCGTATGTCGCTGTCACCACTGCAAACCCTGCTCCAAAGCCACTTCCTCCCTGAAGCCCTCCTCTTCTCTCCCAGCTTTTGGCTTCCTGCACCTGGAAGTCCCACCATCTGTGTGCCTTGTGTCCCCTGGGAGCCTATATGTTCCCTAAGGGAGACTCTTCCCTTCATCCCCCAGGACCATCCTCAACACAGACACAGCAAGTGCCCCTTAGAGGGGTGAAATGCAAAGACCAGGGAACTTCAACAAGGTCTGGACTGGGATAGAGAAGGAGGAGCAGAAAGTAGATGGTGGCGTGTGGTCTGCAGAGAGTGCCACAGATTGGCACAGCAGTCTGAACACAGGCGGGCAAGGCTGGCCAGGAAGAAGGCAATGGTGGGGGAATGTCCCTGTTTGGAAATTGGAAATGGCAGTTCTGAGATCAGGGCAGTAGAGGGCAGGCTTGCTCTGCTCATCTAAGGCTTTAATGCACCCTCCTCTCCCCACCCTCCACACCTGACCAAGGTCCCCACCCCCACTCCCACCAGGGTCTTTACAGTGGAGAGGCTGCAGTGGTCAGTGTCGTCGCCATGGAAGAGGGTGGCATCCTTCAGGAACACAGCACCGGCCTTGAGGATAAAGGTGGCAAACAGTTGTGTGTGGATGTAGTTCCGAGGACAGTGGAGCCTCCTGGAGGGGTTGGGAGAGGAGGAACAGGAGGCTGGTGGGAGGGGGCTTCTGCTGCGTGTGCTTCCAGAAGGAGGCTGAGAGGTGACCAGAGTTGAGATGAGTTGAAGTGAGACAAAATGAATAGCCTTGTAGGACAACTGAGCAACCAGAGGTGCGGCCTCAGTCTCACTGTGTGACCAAGGAGGAAACCATTCCTTGCATTCAGAGAAACGGGAGTCTAGGAGATCGAAATGGACACATAAGAGTCTGTTGAAGCATCAGATAAGAAAAACACTCCCGTGAGATGAAGAATAGCATAGGCTGCATGCAAGCAGGGACCGAGGCCCGGGGCGCAGGCTCTGAACACAGTGGCTTTTGAAGAAGGTAATAATGGTGAGACACTGGAAAGAAAAAAAGCTGTTGCACATGGCAGGAGGAGGCAAAGGGGATTCTAGAAGCAGGCAGAATTTGCACAGACATAATAAAGGCAAGGGGCAAAGGAAAGAGCCTGAACAAAGGGATGGGGCTTGGGATGAATTCCAGTATGTTGAAGAGATGAGCCTGTGCTAGCAGAAAGGAAAAGGACATTTAGGAAATGATAGTAATTCTAGATCTGAGCAGCTCCTGAGATGTCATCTCCTGGGGAGTAGGGAGTCATTGAAGGTTCTTGAGCAGGTGATAAGAACAACAAACCTGAGAGCAATCAGGATGGCAAGAGCTGCGAGGAGAGTTATGACAGAGATGCTGTAGCCCATGGTGTAGATGATCTTCACCGTGGAGTAGTACGATTTCTGCAGAGGGTGAGAAAGAGAGGGGGTCTTAGTTCTAAGGCCCTTGCGGGGAAAAGAAAGCTTAGAGAAGAGGCAAACAAAGTCTTTTTAACACCAGCTCCATCTGGGGGCGGGCATGTCTTTATTTAGAAGGGAAAGCCCCTCTGTGCAATGACGTTTACACCCCGCTCACCCCTGGCCTCTGGTGAGGAGGGAGGGAGAGGGACTGGCAGCCTTCACACTCAGGGAAAATGGCCAATGAGCCAAGGGCTGCATGGCTTCCTTGTGCTTAGTAACCTGGAAGGGACTGGAGAAGCCCATGGGAAATTGCTCACTACAGATTAGTAAGCCAGCCCAAGTGAGCTCATAACCATCTTCCTTACCGACTGGGGATTTGTCCCCACATTGAATTAGAAATTGGAAAAGAGGTCTTGATTCTGTTGGAGGTGCTGTGGGTTTAAGAGAGGGACAGCTGCCTGCCAAATCTAGAAACAAGATCTTTGATGTGGTATAAAAGGTGACTCGGCATTGGTAAACTTCAAATCGGTAAACTTCACATCGGTAAACCTCGCCTGTTGGGTAACTGGACACTGCTCAGGCCTGTGGTAGATCTGCGAGCAGGGACAAGCGACAACAGAGCCTACATCTCCAGGGGAGCACAAACACTCAAGAGGGGCTTGTTTATTGAGTCCAACTTGCTCACTGGTTTGGGGCACACAGTGTCCCCAAATACAGGGGAAAGCTGGAAACAGCAACAGGCAAGTAGGAAAAAGCTTTTGCTTTACTGAGTATGTTGTTGTGTACTGTAGAGTCAGAACTAACCCATAGCTGACCCTCCAGTGTGTTTTCAGAGGCATTTAAACACATGGGACCAGAGTGCCCATCCTTCTCCTGCGGCGCAACTAGTGGACTCGAACCATGTGCCTTTAGGATTGCATCTCAGGTTCTTGCCACTAGGCCACCAGAGCTGAGCATGTAGATCACTCGAAATCTGGCTTGGTCCCAGAGCAAGAAGCTGGGATGCGACCTCAGGGAGTGGGAAGGACTGGCACTGTGAGCCCTGTTCCTTAGAGGGACGGAAGCAGTCACAGCCTCCTGCTGACTCGGCCTTGTCATCTGAAAAAAAATGGCCAGATGAGGACACCCTGGTGGTGCACTTCTGTAAGCGCTGGGCTGCTGACGACTGGTCACTCATTCACTCTTTGTCATCTAGTTGGAATCGGCTCATAGCTGACCTGGCAGCAGGTTTTTAGAGCCTGCAAATCACACAGGAGGAGACTGACCCTCTTTCTCCTATGGAGTTGGTGGTGGATTCTAGCCCGAGTTCAAATCTACCAGCTCCTCTGTGGAGCAGCCTGCTACTGTCACCATGGGTCAGAATTCAAGGGCAATGGGATTGAATTCAACAATAAAGTAATAGAAAACTAACACCTACAATAATAGCCCTGCGCTAATGTAGAGCTAGCATTTTTAATATCCTCAGGGGGAAAGGACTTCCCTTAGTCTGGCAGAGTCTAAATTAAAGCCCTTTGTTGCCCTGTGCCATCTGTTCTTGTAATCTATGACTCGGGAGTTACTCACTCCTCTTTAGCTACAGCATGTGAACAGTACCAATTGTCTCCTGAATATGGATGAAACCAGAACAACTAGCCCAGGGCATGACCTCCCGACCAAAGTGTCTGGAAACAAAGGAAGATACTGTAAAACTTTCAGTCTCCGAGACAAAGAGACAGACTAGGGAAGCTCATACCCTCTGCATCCTGTATCTCATTGTTGCTGAGTCAGAACTGACTCACACCTGGCCCTCCAGTGGGTTTTAGAGGCTGTAGATCACATAGAAGGAGATTGTCCATCTTTCTCCTGTAGAACAGCTGGTAAGCTCCAACCGCCCGCTTTGGGGTTGGCAGTGCAACTCTCCATCATCTAAGCCAACCGAGTTCCCTATCTGCTACATCCAGGCGTGTAGTAAAACTTCTGCTTTTTGTCTCCAAATCCTGTGCCCAAGATTAGTTTTCCTGGCTACAGGCAGCAGACCTGCGGCTTTGTGATAATGGGATTGGTTTGGGTTGTAAGCTAACTTTTAGGGGCGGAGGGAGAGAAAGACTTGAGATCATGTGCACGCAAAGGCTGCTTGAGCTAGAGACCCTCTCTCTGGTCTCATTTCTGAACTTGAATTGCCTTTATTTCATTTAAACCACAGCTGTGTGCATCGGCCAGAGGGGGGATAGAACGTGTTTAGTGGAAAAAACAAAACAAAACAAACGAACAACACGACTTAAAGACCTGGACACAGAGGACGTACGCGTAGGAGATGGTGATGAGGGATTCCCACCTGCCCTGTGCCTCCCCTCTTCTCCAAGGTGGATCCTGTCACCTTGAGCAGAATAGCATAAGGACCTCCCGGCCCTTACTGCCATCTGCTGGAAGCCTGCTGTAATTAATATTCCAGTCTTGGCTGAGGGAATGGTGACCCTTGCCGTGATGTACTCTGCCTTCTACGCAAACAGCTTCCAGGAAGGATGCACGAAGCCAAGACACTCTTACCTCCTCATCCAGTAGCTCCAGGGGCACAGGGCAGGCCACGGGGTATGGCGGGAAGGGCTCAGACCAGCCCACGACGGTGCAATCCCGCTTCACAGCCCCTGGGAAGAGAGCAGAGGACTCCCAACATGGAGGACGTTGTGCTGAGTGAAAGAGTCCACCACAGTAGGATAAATATTGTAAAAGATGGCTGTTACAAAATGTCAAGAAAAGTTTACACACAGAAAGAAGCATTCATTAGCGGTTACTTGGGATGGGAGGGGAGGGTGAGAAAATCACTAACAAGATAGTGGAAGTGGGTTAACTTGTGGGGAAAAGAATGGCAACGTGATCAAGGCCAAGGAAGTCACGGGGAGACAGAAGGAGGAAAGGTGTGTTAGTAAATACTATTTACATGCACAGCAGCCCCACAATAATGGTAACAATGAGCAAAAGTTTACAAGTGGATACACGGGCAGGCCTGCAAGCTGCTCAAGGGCAGGATGTCACAGGAGAGTCCACTCATGGCCGTACGTAGGTGGACAGTGATTATTCATCGTAAGTGTTTAAATGTGTCTCAAACATATGCACATGTGTGACACAGCGCCCAGGAGACCAGGCTCCTAGCCATCACCAGGCTTCTTGGGGGACTGAGTCCCTAGGCTTGAGGTGTCAGGATATTGTCGTGAGGGGTTGGAAGACAACTGACTGGCTCAAGGTCACATCAGAAGAAGGCAGATTACTGTTTCAGTTCTGATCGGTCTGCATTCCACAGTCAGGGAAGTGTGCACCAGACTCTGTCACAACCTGATGAAACCACACTATCCCCCAGCCCACACTAGGCTCCAGATGGTTCACCTGGCTCTGAGCTGAAGTAAGAGAAGAAGTCTGGGCAGGGGAGGGTGACCCACTCTCCAGAGCCCGCCTTCGGCCAGCACAGCAGCCCATCCCAGGTGCTGGGACAGCCTAAAGAGAGACAGAGCAGTGTCATCTCACCCAGGGGAAGGCTCTGAGCAGTCCTCCAACCCTTCAGTCCCACCTCCCTCCCAAGTCCCATACCGAGGGTGGAATTTGACATCCTCTCTGCTGCTTGCAGACATGCTTGTTCATCCTCTTTCAACTGTGTGATGAAGTCGCATTCTGGTTGGCCGAAAACGTGTGCCTCCAGGAAAGAGTTAGAGGATGAGTAAAGCCCACTGGATGCTCTACTAGGTCCTCTGACCCACATGGCCCAAACACAGAGACAGAGTTTGATTTGTTTCCATGCCCCTAACCCTAGTCACAAGGCCTGACTCACAGTTCATATAAAATGTGCTGGGTGGATGTTTGGATAGATAGATAGTTAGATGGGTAATTAGATGGCTAGAGATGGATGGATGGATGGATAGATGGATGGATGAGAAATGAACATAAATTTAAGAAAGAGAATCAATATATTAACTATACCACATGTCCTATATCACTTAAAAATTTTCTGGGATTTCCCTCTTATTGTAACAACCACTGCAGTGTGCAGCAATCTACAAGGTCTTCTGGGTTGGGCAGCTGTCAGTAGAACTTCCTATTATAGCGTAGGAAGAAAGGTCTGGCTTTCTACTTCCAATAATTAACCAATGTGGGGGGGAATCTATGGGTCACAACGGGATATTGTTTAAAACAGTGCTAGAAGGTGAGTCATCAGCTTGGAATACAATCAAACTACCCAGTGGCCCCCAAAATGGATCTAAACACCCCAGTGAGCTTGTGGATTGCACAGGACTGAAGCATTTCTTTCTGTTACACATGGGCCACCATGGGTCAGAGAAGCCTTTAGAGTGACAAGCATCAGCAGTCCAGTTTGAAAAGCAGGCACTGTGAAGAGTGAGAGAGGCCTGATACAGGGTTGGAATCAGAGTGGAACCTCTAAGCATCAGGCTGGGGAGAGTGGACAGTGAGTGACCACCTAGGAGAGATCCAGAGATGTTGCTGCAGGCCTGAGGGCTAGGAGAAGGGAAAGAGACCCTCAAGCTGAAGCAACTCCAGTCTCCAACCTACTGACCCCAATCCCTGAGGTCCAGCTCTGGCTCAACCATTCACGGGCGCTGCTATTCTAGGCCTTGATGCAGTAAGGATTTTGCCACCAAAAGGTTCTCTAGGGCATCTTACAGGAGGAAGAGTCCCCAAATGCCAGAAGGAGTTGCTAGTTCTCCAAATATCACTCAGGCACTGCTGAGCCCCAGGACTGACTGACCGTGAGCTCTTAGAACATCAGAATTTTAATGTGGTTCAAGGAGCCGTGATGGGGGAGGGCGACACAGAGAGCTCAGAAAGTCCTCTCAGAGAACTGCTGTGTGTAAGAATCAGGGGTACAAAGCTGAGAGGACCCTCTGGATGCTATAACCTATCAACACACTTGGCTGCTAACCAGAAGGTTGGTGGTTCAAGTGAATCCAGAGGTTCCTACCAAGGGCGTAGTGAGCTACTGTGGGATAACTGGCCGTCAGTCATTGAGACCAGTTCTACTCTTGTGAGGTTGGCCAGTTAGAGTGAATTCAGAGGCAACTGGAAGCTGAGAGCAAGAAGAGACTTGGAGTGTGAGGGATTGGGGATGACTGTCTCCCCAATTCTAAGGCACATATTGGGGCAGCAGAAGTGGCCCCCGGGGACCTGGGGGACAACAGGAAGATGTGCTCAGCTCAGCACCAAGAAGGACAATGGCCTGGCCAGGGCTCCCCGCTGTGGCGCAGACAGCCTGGGCACCGAAAGGAAGAAGCACAGTGTCGCGAGTTCTCTGAGGCAGGGCCTGCATCTGTGTCACAGGGGGATCCTGCTGGACAAAAGTGGAGGGCTCTCAGCAAGTCCCACTAGCCCCCATGTGGTCTTGGGGTACCCAGAGAGGCAGGAAGATTAGAGGCAATTACTCACAGTCCATAAGAGGCTCAGTAGACAAAGGACAGAATTGCACCAGGGTCGTCTGTCCATCCTGGGCTCAGCCACTGCTCTGTCACCCTGGGGCCTCTTTCTTCTCTCCACCATCTGTCTTCTGCTGGTGCTGCAACCACCCTCTACCTCTGTCCCCTGGTGACTGTTTGCATAGGCAGGAGACAGCAAAGAGGACAGAGCTCGTTGAATATTCAGCTTATTCAACTCACATCTATTTTGGTGCTGGACAACAACATATCCCCAACAGAGAAGGGTGGGTCCTTCACCCCAGCCACCTGATGGCAAGAACTCAGAGAGGTGAGCTCTACAGGAAAGTTCCTGGGCCCAGTCAGTCAATATTCGGAACCATTTTCTTTCCAAGTCCAATCTTCTGCTGGTCTACACAGTGGTCTTATCATTATCAACTCCCATGCAATTATGTCCAACTCATGTGACCCTGTGAACAGCACAAGGAAATGCTTCCCAGACTTAGAGTAGCACTACAATTAGTATGGATCTGACTGTTAGGATCCACAGCATTTTTAGTGCATAATTTTTGACAGTAGATGGCCAGGCCTTTCTTCCTTGTCTATTTTAGTCTGGAAGCTCCACTGAAATTAAAACAACACTTAAGCCGCCAGTGATAGGTATGAGCTGCATCTGAGTGGAATCAAACACTGGTACCCTACGTGGACAGTGAGAATTTCACCATTGACCCTTTCTGATCACTCCACACAGCACAAGCACAAAAACCTTTGAAAAAAGAAAGAAATTTAAAAAAGAGAAAGGAGACCGGTGCTCGCCCCAAGTTGGCTGGTGATCACAGACTTGGCTCTGGTAGGAGCTGGGATGTGGCGACCCAGAAGCGGTGGAAGGGGAAGGGAAGAGGCGGGGATATGGCAGTAAGAACAAGCTGAGGAAGGGGAGTGGCCCCCAGCGCCAGCACGGACTGGCCAGGAAAGAGCAGAATGTTGAGACTTGGATGGTTGGATGGTGGAGTAGAAGCTGCAGGTGTCAATGCTCTGCACTTTGCACCACCAGGAAGAAGCTTTCTCTCCCAGAAACCCCTGTGGCCTCAGAGAGATCTGGGACTGGCCAGGAGCCTCGAGAAGGCCTGGTGGAGCTGGACCAGGCCGTCCTTCAGGACAGGACAACCCTCATCAGAACAGCAGTGGGAAGACGTACACAGAGCTCAAATCACTTGAACATTTGTTATCTGGTCATTTTTATTATTACTATTACTACTATAATAAATACAGGGAGTTCTAGTGATCTGGTGGTAGGAAACTGTGCTGCAATCTCAAAGGCACATGGTTGAAATCTATCAACTGTTTCATGAGAGAAAGATTAGTAATCTTCCCTCACGTGATTAAACAGCTTGTGAAAACCTATCAAAGGGTTAGTTATGAGTGGATTCCAACCTGACAGCACACAGCAACAAGATAAAGATTATCTATCTATCTATCTATCTATCTATCTATCTATCTATCATCTATGTCTAGAGATGTCTTTATGTTTATATACATATAGGAAGTAGGTATATATATCTTGGTGTTGTTTTATATCTATCTATCAATGAATAATATGGCCTTTGCCGATATAAGTTTTTTTCACATGGAGGACCTCATAAATGGAAGAGTGGAGGGACAGCTCAGGAAAGTAAGACCCCAGGTGAGATTCACAATAACTGGGGTAACAAGGGTAGTTGTGTCAGAGGCAGCGAGATTGGCTTCAGGATAGGACGGGATCCAGAGCTATTGTGCACAGGGTCATTATGAGTCACAAGTGACTCAAAGACACATAACAACAACAACAACAACAATTCAGTGTCACTAATTTAATGACTAATGCTATGAAAGTGTCACCAATGCCCACTGCCAAATTGTCCATCACCATAAACAGTGTCTCACTGCTTCCTAAGCAGGGCTTTCCTCTTCCCTCTGGTCCTGGCCCTTCTGTTAGAAGCCAGACATTTGTTACTGGGTCACATGTTGTAGAATAGAGCTGTTACATTGGAATTTCTTGACTGTAACTTTAACAGAAACAGATTTCTAGGCTTTTCTTTTGCAATGCCACTGGGTGGATTTGAACTACCAACCTTTAGTTAGTTGTTATTGTTAATCACTGTCAAGTCAATTTTAACTTATGTCAGCCTCATATGTATGGAGTAGAACTGCTCTATCAAGTTTTCAAGGCTATTGCCTTTTTGGAGCAAAGACTAGGTGAGTTTTCCTTGCTGCCTCTGAGTGGATTCAAACAGCCAAACTTTCACCTAGCAGCCAAGAGCTTAATCATTTGCATCACCAGAGAAGTGCCACTCAGGGCCCCATCCTAACCCTGGGTCATTATGTGCCATCGAGTCAGCTACAATTCATAGCGATCTTGTGAATAATAGCTCTGAAACTTAACCCTACTCTATGCCAACAGGTTGCTTGCTGAAAGTGAGGAGGATTTGAAGCACTTGTTGCAGAAGATTAAGGAATGCAGTCTTCAGGATGGATTGTGTCCCAATGTCAAGAAAACAAAGATTCTCACCACTGGACCAATAGGCAGTCTCATGATGAATGGAGAGGAGATTTAAACTGTCAACAGCTTCATCTTGCTTGGATCCACCATTAACACCTCTGGTATGAGAAGACAGGAAATAAGGAGACACATTGCAATGGGAAAATCTACAGTTAAGGATTTTTCCAAATTATTGAGCTGTGATGTCAGTTTGAGGACTAAGGTGTATCTGATTCAGGCCATGGTATTTCCGATTACTAGCTATGATTCTGAGCCCTGGACAATGAATAAGGATGACGGGAAAAAATAATGTGATGACTTTGAGCTTTGGTGTTGGAGAAGAGCACTGAACATTCCATGGACGGCCAAGAGAATGAATAGATATGTCTTGGAGAGGGTGCAGCTGGAGTGCTCTTTGGAGGCAAGAATGATGAGGCTTCGTCTGACATACTTTGGACATATTGCTAGGAAGTGCTATTCCTTGGAGAAGGACATGATGTTGGAAGGGTGGAGGGTGAGCAAAGAGGAAGACCCTCAACCAAGTGGATTGACAAGATGACTGCGCAATGGGCTCTTTTGTGTCAGGAAGTGTGAGGATGGCGCAGGACAGGTCTTTTGTTCAAAGGTTCACAATTAGTCATACTCAACTCGATGGCACCTAACAACAACGGCAACCTGGGAGTGCCTGATTAACTTTGATCATTTGCCTATTCAGGATATTATGTCAATGAGTAAATCCCTTTTTGTTGTGCTTACTACACTCTGCATAATGTTTTCAAGGTTCACCGATATGGTCACATGGACCAGAGCTTCATTCCTCTTTCGTGCCTGATCATTTTTAAGATGGACAGTTTTGGTGTTTAAAATGCAGGGTCTCTATTGGCAAGACTAAAGCCAGAACTCTGTGTTGCCTGAGTCATGTTCTGGACTTTGAAAGCAGACCGTGTCCCCGAGGGTCCAGAGCAGGCCTGCATGTTTTTGAGCATGTACTCCTTCGTTCATCGGTGTCAGCCTGAGAGCTAATGACGGCCAGTGTGTTTACCACTGCGCCTGCTGGTACTTGATACATGCTCATAAATGATAAGAGGATGCACATCTGGATCTGGACCTCCTTTTGCATGATCACAACATTCTGTCTCTATTTTTATCCGCTGCCGAACAAACAGTAAAGGAAAATATTTTTAAACAATGTCCTACAATCCCTGACCTCCTCCTGCCCTTACCCGAATGTTTGCAAGTGCTGACTGTGAAGACGGAGCAGGTAGCACATGTCAGGGAGCTCAGCACGTCTTGAAGACAAAGTCCAGCAGCTCCACAGCCAGGCACAGGGGGTGTGGCTTACAGGGGACGGGAGAGTCTCTCTGACTCATCTCCAAGGGGGCGCCAGCCCCAGGATACATACCAGATACAACTCGATTGATAACTATTGCCAGTTCACTAGCATTGATAACGATGAATTACTGATATGCCGACTAGTAGTATTATCTAAGGTTCTTAGAGGGAGATCTGGTAGAATAGTCCACAAGGAGTTGCTCAGCTAACCCCAAGGTGGCATGCCTCTGGTGGTTCGAATCCACCAGCAGTGGGAGAAAGATGGGCTATCTCCTCTTACGTGATTTACAACCTTTGTAAAACCACTGGAAAGTCACGCAGAAGTGTGCTCCAACTTCACAGCAAAAAGTTTGAGGTTTATATTGAAAGTTCTTAACTGGGGATAATTTTGCCCTCCAGAAGATCTGTAGCCAAGTCTGTTATTGTTTGTTGTTGTGTACTGTTGAGTCGGAATCAACTCATAGCTGAGCCTCCTGTGGATTTTCAGAGATGATTAATCGCACAGGAGGAAATTGTCCATCCTTCTCCCACAGAGCCTCTGGTGGATTCAAACCGCATGCCTTCAGGATTGCAGCACAGCTTCTCGCCACTAGCTCCCATTTTTTTCATTGTCAATGCTGGGAGTGGGAAGGGTGTAGGAAGCCCTAATTTAAGCACACACGCACACACACACACACACACACACTACAAAGCAATGCTGCTGAGGAGTGACAATGGGCAGGGGGTAATCAATCATAGAGTCACACACAGGGTACCAGGCAGGGTGGGTAAAGGAAATGAGAAAGATCCAGTGTGAAAAACAATGTATACGAACTTTGTAAGCAAAGCAATGTTGTTGTTATGTGCTATCGAGTCGCTTGCGACTCATAGCTACCCTATGTACAAGAGCCCTAAAACCCGTTCTATCCTGTGCCAACCTCGCTGTTTCCGACACACTATTCCCACCACCCCAATCACTGAATGGATCCATTTCATTGAGGGTCTTTTTCTGCTGCGCTGTCCTTCCAACTCTCCCAAACATGATGTCCTTCTCCAAGGACTGGTTCCTCCTTGCAACATGCCCAAAATATGTCAGATGAAACTTCAGAATCCTTGCCTCCAAGGAGCAGGCTGGCTTCACCCTCTTCAGGACAAACCAGTCCATGCAATCCTAGCAGTCCATGGTATATTCAACACTCTTCTCCAGCATCACAGCTCAAAGGCATCAATTCTTTTTCTAGCATCCCTAGTCACTGTTCAGCTCTCTGATGCACAGCATGCAATTGTGAAGACTATAGCCTGGATCAGACGCACCTTAGTCTCCAGTCTAATGTTGTTGCTCTTCAGTACTCTGGAGAAGTCCCTGACAGCTGACTTACCCAATGCAATTTGCCTCTTCATTTCCTGGCTGCTGGTACCAAGAGTGTTAACTGTGGAGCCAAGCAAACTAGAGCTTAACTATCCCAATCTCTTCACCATCTGTCCTGATGCTGCCAATTGGCCCAGTGGTGAGAATCTTTGTTTTCTTGATGTTGAGCCTCAATCCGTACTGAAGGCTGCAGTCCGGGACCTGCTGCAGCAAGTGCTTCAGGTCCTTCTCAGTTTCAGCAAGCAGGGTTGTGTCATCTGCATAATGCAGGTTGTTGACGAATCTTCCACCAATACTGATGTCACATTCCTCCTCATACAGCCCAGAATCTCGGATGATCTGTTCTGCATACAGATTGAAAAGGTATGGAGACAAAATACATCCCTGACGGACCCCCTTCCCAATTTTGAAACATGTAGTGCTTCCTTGCTCTGTTCTGACAACTGCCTCTTGGTTCAAATATAAGTTTTGCATAAGCACAATCAAATGTTCTGGGATTCCCATTCTTCTCAGAGTCAGCCATAGCTTGTAGTGATCCACATAGTCAAAAGCCTTTGCATAGTCTATGAAGCACAGATAGACATTCCTCTGGTATTCTCTGCTTTCTGCCAAGACCCATCTAACATTAATTATAATATCCTTAGTACCATGACCTCTTCTAAATCCAGCCTGCATATCTGGCAGTTAGAAAGCAAAAAATTCTTTTTTAAAAACCTAATGCTACTGAATTAAGCTCATATAGACTGGAAAGAAGGATCTGGCCCATAGCATCTCCAATGCTATAAATCTTCATAGAGGGATACACTCACTCACTAATTGCTGTCAAGCTGGTTCCAATTCATAGCTGACTGACCTGTCAGTAGATTTTTCAGAGTTTGTAAATTACACAGGAGAAATTACTCTTCATTCTCTTGTGGAGCAGGTGGATGGATTTGAACTGTCTGCTTACCCACTCCTTACCCACTAGGCTACCAGAGCGCCTTTCATGGAAGCAAGTGCTTCACCTCCCCCTTCAAACTGGCTGGGAGGCTCTAGCCTCCAACTTTTCAGTTAGCCCCTGAGTCCTTAACCACTACACCACCAGGGGTCTGTGGAAACCTTACATGAATCAATGATTGTCCAGTCTCAAACTCATTGGCATCCCATCAGAACTGACTCAGAGCTGATCCTCCGGTGACTCACTGAGCAGGACCAGGAGAAAATCAGGATTGGAGGAAGATTCATCAACAACCTGTGTTATGCAGATGACACAACCCTGTTTGCTGAATCTGAGGAGGATCTAAAGCGCTTGCTGCAGAAGGTCAAAGACTGCAGCCTTCAGTATGGATTGAAGATCAACATCAAGAAAACAAAGACTCTCACCACTGACTGGGCCAATTGGCAGCACCGTGGTAGAGAAGAGATTGAGGTTGTTAACAGTTACAACTTGCTTGGCTCCTCAATCAACACCAGCAGCCGGGAAATCAAAAGGTGAATTGCATTAAGTAAATCTGTTGTCAGGGACCTTTCCAGAGCTTTCCACAAGCAACAATATCAGTCTAGAGACTGGGGTGAGCCTGATCCAGTCCATGGTCTTCACAATTACTTGCTATGCATCAGAGAACTGGATAATGACTAAGGAGTATAGAAGAATTATTGATGCCTTTAAGTTGTGATGCTGGAGAAGAGTCTTAAACCTACCATGGACTACCAAGAAAACAAATAGGTCTGTCTTGGAGAGAGTGAAACCAAGTTTCTCCCTGGAGGCTATGATTTTGAAGCTCCATCTCACATACCAGGCACATGACCATGAGGGACCAATCCTTGGAGAAAGACATGCTTGGATGGCTAGAGGAACAGCACAGGAAAGAACAACTCCAGAAGAAATAGACTGATGCAGTAATTAGGGCAATGGGGGTTGGTGTGTCAGAGACAGTGAGACTGGCTCATGACAGGGCAGACTTCCAAGCTATTAGAGTCGCAGGTGACTTGACAGCATATAACACCAACAATATCGTCATTTTTAAAGAAAATTTATTCATGTATTATTTGTACAATTAAAATTACATTTAAAATATCTAAATTGATACTGTTACAATTTTTCCATTACCCAATTAGGGTAAGGAATTTCCCTGCCAATCCAAAGGCTCGCAGTTCGAATCTACCAGCTTCTCTGCGGGAGAAAGATGGGTTATCTCCTCCCATGAGACTTACTGCATCTGAAAACCTACTGGAGGGTCAGCTACGGGTCATTTCCCTTTCGAAGGTACTGTAGGTACCAGTGTCCAGTCTATCTGCTTCTCAAGCTTGTGGGTTCCTGGAGGACAGAGACGGAAACTCCTCTGTCAACAAGCATCCTAAAACTCCTTGTTATGTACCATCCTGTCAACTGCAATTCATAGTAACCCTACAAGTAACAGATCTGAACCTTGTCCCGTCCTGTGCTATTCTTATCATCTCCGACACACTCTGGGCCATTGTTACACTGTCACCATATCAGTCCATTTTATCGTGGGCCTTAGGCATCCTCAAAGGCTTAAAATTCAGCAGTCTGGAAGTTTGTCAGCATTGACTGTGTCTGATGCCCCCTGGTGGCGATAGGAGCAATTGCTGTCTCTTCCCTTTCTTTTTTAAATTTTATACTTAATTTACTTGCAAGTTCATATACATTGTTCTTCACATAGGATCTACTCCTTTCCTTTACTCTCCCTTCCCTTCACCCAGTAAATTGTGCGACCCTATGATTAAGCTCCCCCGACCCCCCCGCCCTTCCTCTGCTTCCTCATCCCTGAACTGGATCCTCATACTTGTTCTACAATAACGGTCTTACACTGCACTTGTCTTTATAAGACTGAGTTAATTCACTCAGTGTAGTGCTCTCCAGTCCTCCTAATTTAGGTAGTAATTTACAAAATCATTTTTCCTGCATGCTGCATAGTATTCCATTTTGTGAATATACCATGATTTCTCAGTCCATTCTATTGTGGTTGGACATTTGGGCTGTTTCCATGTTCTTGTGATAGTGAATAACGTTTCTGTGAACACTGGTGTACAAGTCTCAGTTTTTGCCTCAGTTCTTATTTTCTCAGAATATATTACAAGCAGTGGACTAGGTAGGTCATTTGGAATTTCTACACTCAGCTTTTTGAGGAAACACCAAACTGACTTCCACAGTGGTTGTACCATTTTACAATCCCACCAACAATATGAGTTCCTTTTCTTGATGGCACTATCTCAGGGCTGCTTCAGACTCACTAGTCTTAAATCATTTAGTAAAAGTCTAGGCTCCCCTGTTGAATGAAAAAAAAATATCAACTACACATATTACACTTCTTTATTAATTTATTTTGTAATTATTCCTATTTATACTCCAAAATCCTCAAGAAAAAAACACATTGTGCATAGTTACAGAATTTTGAATATTAAGCAGAAGATTGACCTCAGAGTCAGCTCAGTTTTTTCATTTAATAATATAAAATTAAAATAATTGGAATAATTTTCTTAAATATTAATATGTGTATTTGCTATTTCTGCACATTTCCATTAATTGATCCATTTATATAAGTTTTTATGTGTTTGTGTATGTATGAATAAATGATGTTCACCAATTTTTAATAATAAAAAAAAAAGTCTAGGCTCCCCATGACAGATGGACAGACAGGTCTTGTGCAGCGTCTGCTTATGGACATTTGGCTTAGGTGTGACTGTCTGGGATGGGCTGGCAGCAGATTAATTAGGCCAATATCAGAGTGGTAGCTATGTTGGCTGCATTTTAGGCTTCCCAGGACAGAGAACCTAGAGCTCTGGTGGCCTAATGATAAGGAGCTATACTGCCATCCCAAAGGCATATGGTTCGAATCCACCAGCACCAATCTCCTCTCATGTTTCTGAAAATCTGCTGGAGGGTCAACAATGGGTCAGTTCTGACTCAATGGCACACAGTACCACAAAAGGGCAGAGAATAGTCTAGAGAAGAATCAGGGGTCCAGGAGGCCCTGAGTATGGATTTCAGGTACTATATAGGCAGAGCTTCTCTTTCAAGTGTCCAAGGGAGCAAGTCCCCAAGCTGTGCTTGACAGGGGCCTGGCTACCTGGAACCTTTCCTTCACCCCCATACCACTCAACATCCCTCGTACTGAGAGTGATGGAGACCTAAAGCAGCCTGTTCCCACAGTTAGGACTCTTGGGTGGGTCTGAGTTCAAGGCTCTGCCTAGGGGTGAACTCTCTGCTCAGGGGTCCAGGGTCAAGGCTCTGTCTAAGGGCCAAAGGTCTGATTAAGGGTACAGGCTTAAGGTTCTGCCTTAAGGTCAGAGGCTCATGGCTATGCCCAGGGGCCCATGGTCGAGGTTTTGTCTAAGACCCAGGTCAGTACTTCCTGGGACTGGGGGCCGAGCTCTGCCTGGGTGATGTGATCAGAGTTCAGCGTGAGGCCAGAGGTCAGGTCCTCATCCATGTCCTGCATCACAGTCCAGCTAAAGTCTGTTCCGGGTCATCAGTGAGCTGAGTTGGAGGCTGAGACTTGGCCCAGGTCAGGAGTCTGGCTGTATCCTGATCTAGGCTGGATCAGGATCAGTACCGAGAGGAGGACTAAGGACCGTTGTGATAAGTATAGTAATAGTGTTGCTTAGCACAGATCTCCATGATTAAGATTTTCAGTTACTACTCCTCCAGGTTCAAAGTCATGTTTTTTTCTGAATAGAAATTATGGAGCCAAGGTTCCTCCCCATGCCTCTTCCACTTGGGACTCCCCCACTGAGCCTCCAGACTGGTCACTCCCTTAGCGCCTCCTCTCTCCTCCTTCGGCCCCTTCAGAGTACCTGCTGAGTGGGGTGGGATGGGCAGGGTGGGGCGTGGGCCGTAGGGGTTCCAGGGGAAAGCTGGCCCTGAGCCAGGAAATCTGAGAACAATGTGACACTTTGTTTTCCTCCCACTAGGAAAGGTGCTTGGCTTTGCACTTGGATCACTAATTTCTTTATGAACTTTAGAAGTGCCTGAAGACTTTGCCCTCTTCCCCTACGGCAAACTTTCCTGGCCAGGCTTGCCGAGTGAGCGCTACCTGTTCTTCCCTGCACGTGGCCAGCGTGAACGGCCAGTGTGAATGGCCAGTGTGAGTACTTGGCGTGCACTTGTCCTGCAGGAGGAGACAGTGAAGCGCTCAGGATTGCTTGTGAGCTTGACCTCTAGGCAGGGGCTGGGACCCAGACCTCCTGCCACCCAGTGCAGATGCTACCTGTGGCCCAAGCTGCACGCTGTTATTCATGGCAAGGTTTTAGTTTGAAATGTTAATGGACTCATGTTGTTGAAATGAGCAAGGCTCAAACCCCTGTGCCAGCTGGCTACACCCCACACGTGCACTGCACCCTTTTTCCGTACTCCTTGTTTCCCCAGTAGGGGCAAGTAGCTCCTCAGACAGAACTGGGAACTCACTTTACCACTGATGAAACTGGGATGCAGAGAGAACAGAACACCCATCTGGGGTCATATAGCCAGACAGACACATCCCAGGACTTGGGGCCTCCCTGGCCAGTCACCCCTCCCAGCCCAGGACATTGTGCATACACGTGCAGCTGGACACGGAGGAATGGGGCATTGAAGAGGGGTGCAGGGCAGGAGCGAAGGTCAGGCTTTGAGGTTTTGGTGAGCTGCATTCGGATTTGTGCTTCAAACAGCTCTTCCTGCTGCAATGTGGACAGTGGTCAGGAGAGGGCAAACGTGGCTGAGAGGACGCAGGAACAACGCATTCCGTACAGTGAGCTATTTCACAGCAGTGTGGACAGAAGAGCTGCTGCCCCAGGCAACAAGGGTGAAATTTAGAAACTCAAGATTTAAGGGAAATCCCTGAAGACTGCCTATAATATGCTGCCAGATATATGTTGCTGTTGTGTACCGTTGAGTTGGAAATGACCCATAGCTGACTCTCTGGCAGGTTAAATGCATGGGAAGAGATTGCGCATCCTTCTCCTGCAAAGCAGCTGGAGGCCCTCGAAACTCGTGCCTTTGGGATTGCAGCGCAGCTTCTTGCCACTAGGCCACCAAGCTCAAAAATAAGGAAAACTAAAAAATACTGATTAAGTATCACCTATATGCACATGCAGAGAACTCTGGTGGCCATGTGGTAAGGAGCTGCTCTACCAACTGAAGGTACGTGGTTCAAATCCACTAGCTGTTCCATAATAAAAAGATGGTCTGTCTCCTCCCATGAGGTTTACTGCCTCTGAAAACCCACTAGAGGATCAGCTATGGGCTCGTTCTGACTTTACAGTTCCTAACAACCACAGTGTACCTCTATGCATGATTTAAACAAACCAATCCCTTTTTGTTAAAGCAGAGGAATGCTTAGACAACGTTTGGGACAGCTGATTCCTCTAGTGGGTAGGAAGGGAACAGAGGAAGTTCACATCTCTAGATGTGCGATGTGGGTATGTTCCTCGCATTAGTGATAGATGTACAGGTGTGTCTTATAATATTGCATTTTGTCATTTACATCTATAATAATTGTCAGTACTTACTATGGAGAGCTTGGGGTTCTCTGGGAGACTCAGTGGTTAAACTTGACTACCCACCTGAGAGGTCAGAGGTGGTGATCAGACCCAGCGATCTGATTGTAAAAAGCCACAGAACCCTATGGAGCAGTTGACCCTGGTACACATGGGCCACTGTGAGTGGAAATGAACAAGATAAAGCAGCCTCCCTCAGAAACTGGGGGGCAAAAAAATAAAAAAGAAACTGGATGGCAAGTGATGTATTCACTTGGTTGGTTGGTTGTTTTTTTGTTTGTTTGTTTTTGGTTTTTTATTCACTTGTTTTGTGCACACAGCTGGTGTTAGGCTTAGGTTCTAACATGAGCTGCCTGATTCCAGAGCTCATGCTCTAAACCTGTCCACTAAATATTTCTTTATAAGAATCTGCACTGCAATCATAAAGACATGCAGTTCAAATCCACCAGCTACTCTGCGGGAGACAGATGGGCAATCTCCTCTCATGCAATTAATTGCCTCTGAAAATCCATTTGAAGGCTAGCTATGGGTCGGTTCCAACTTAACAGTACACAGCAACAACAATAATATAATCGAAATCATTTTAAAATCTACTGCAGAGATGTGAGAGAGACTTCTTCAGTCCCCACCAAGGAAGGCAGAGCCAGAGATGGAGCTGAAAGGAGACGTCCTGCTCGGCTCCCCCTTCCCTGCCCCTCCTGCTCCTCCTCTTCTCCCCTTCCCTCCCCTCCTTCCCCTTCTCTCCATCCAAACCCTACCCTTTGTTTTGAGGTTGGTTTGTTTTTTATAATTGAGGGAAAGTTTACAAATTATGTGAAGATTTTATTCATATACATTGATTTATAGCATTGTAATTATCATTTCCTTTGGGTGATTCACACACATTTTATTTTATCATATTAATTAACACCGATTAATATAATTTAATACAATGTCTAATCAACTCCTCATTATATATTGCCTTTCCCTTCAGCCAAATTAACTACTTTTCTTTTTTTTTTTTCTAATGTTTTTGTATTATCATTAGGGGGTTTTTTTTGAGTGAAGATTTGTAAATCATATTGATTTTTTAACACATAGACTTTTAGTTTTATAACATTAACAGTAATATGGTTCATTTATTACACTGTCTAATCAGTCTCTTATTGTGTGTTACCTTTCCTTTACAAACCCTACCCTGGTCAGAGACATGATCAGGGGGACCCTTTCTTCCAGGCAGCCCTCCCTCACTGCCCATCCCACGAGTCCCTGGCAGTCAGCACCGAGGGTCTGTTACATGCAGTCAGCATGCTGTTACGATGTAAGGTAATAAAGGTGTCTGGACTCTACCACGAAGACGTCTTGGATGCAGTAGCCAGAAGGACTTGAGGGCATGGGCTGGAGCTCATGTTCTTTGAGCCTCTTCTTAGAGGAACTGAGCTTGACCATATGGGTTCAGGTAAGCAGCTCTGATCTGAGGACGGGCTGTCCTTGGTGTAAGAATTCGGTCAGTGCAAGAAGGGAAGAAATGTCTCCAGAGGCTTTCTCCTGGCCTGTCCCCATAGTTCACTATTGCTCCTCCCACCTGTCCCCATCCCACCCAGCCCCCTTATTTATAAACCATATGTCCCTGTGTCCCTGTCTGGCCCTACTGTTTGTCCAAAGCCTCAGCTGCTTCCCCTGATAACCATGGCGCAGAGGCGGGGCCTGGGTTCAAGCCCAGGGTGGAGCCTGGGTGCAAGCAGAGTTCAGGGATGCTCTGGTATGTCCCTCCTCTGTTCAACAATCGTCAGTGGTTCCCTATGGACAATGCAGAGTCTGATACGTAGAACTTGCTAAAAAATTATCAGCTGCTCTTATTTAGACTTTTAATTACTGTCATTGCTCCCAGAAGCAATTCCAGACTATTTGGCCACGACCTTGAAGGCCACCTACGGGAGTTGCGTTCTAGAGAGGAGCAGTGAATTACCTTCACTCACACAGCCAGGCAGTGTGACACTTTCTGTATTCTATCATTCTGCCCATCCGGCTGCTTCAGAGAGATGGGGAGAACATGGCCCCAGACCTCCGAAGCTGGCCCTGCAGCCAAATCCTGTCTCTGTCCCTCTCTAACTGCCTGCCTAAACTCTGGTTTCTTCATCTACAAACACAAGCATTGTCTGTTTCACTCAATTCCCAGCTTCCAGAATAGTGCTTGGTGCACAGCAGGAGCCTGACAAATCTCCCTGCCCTGCACACACCTCCCAGTCATGCTCGAGGTCTTTGTTGCTGCCACCATGTCAATTCACCTCATTGGGAGTCTTCCTCTTAATTCACTGAGCCTCTTCTTTCCCAAGCACAGTGTCCTTCCCCAGATGACACGTCCAAAGCCTGTGAGGCGAATATCACCATTATCACTACCAAAGAGACACAATCTAAGAGACATTCTGTCTGTAATTCTTCTAAGACCAATGTGTGTGCTTTTCTAGCAGTTCTGGGCATAGTCAATATTCTTTCCTAACACCCTAATTCAATCGCATCAAGCCTCTAGCTTTCCTCCATCTGCTATGATATTGGCCCAGTGGTGAGGAATTTTGTTTTCTTTATACTGAAGTGTAAACTGTACCTGTTGTCCTAATCATCATCAGTAAGGTATTTTCATCCTTTTTCCTTTAAATAGCAAGGTGATGTTACTTGTATGTTGCAGGTTGTAATTTATTTTTCTTCCAATCCTAGTGCTAGTTACTTTTTTTGTATCACTATTTCTCTATTTATCACACAAATTGAATAAGCATAGTAAAAAGTACAGCTCTAATGCACACCTTTCCTAATTTAAAACCACACAGTATCCCTATGTTCTCTTCTCATGGTTGCCTCTTGGTCGATGTACAGGTTGTGCATGAGCACAATTAACTGTCCCGGCATTCCCATTCGTCACAATGTTATCCACAAATGGTTATGATCCACACAGTTGAATACCTTTGCATAGTCAATGAAG